TTCTGACTTGAAAAAAAAAAATAAAGGAAAGGTTTTAATAGGTGGTTTGCACGTTACGTCATCGCCGCCATGTTGGTAGACATAACAAGAGATATCTCTTTAGCTTCGTTTGTTCGTCCACCAGCATTTGTTCCTTTCACCGTTGTTACCTGTGTCTCCAGAGATTGGTTGCAAACCACCTATTGCAGAATTTTTTGTGCTCATGTCTGCATGTGCCCTTCTACCGTGTCCTATCTAGAATCAGTTGAAATTTATGATAAAATGCTTATTGACTGAGTTTAGTCGGGCCAAACAGGAGAGTATTTGGCTCCCAGACATGAGGCATGGACCGTGCCGCGCGAAGTCTACGTTACGACCTCGAGCCGAATATTTTCCCGTCCAGTCCTCCAATTCAGTCGATGTGTGCATGAGATGTCACCTAAGTATCAGACTATTATCGGCAGAAAAACAACTTGAAAGTTTGCTTATTGACCCAATAGAGCTGTAACAAATTATTAAATAACCATCATTCACCAAAGTAGAGGTGAATAGTGGTGTATACTTCGTGAGAATACACTGTTGGTACATATTTGGCTGATTTCCACAAATCCCCATACTTCCATATACATAGAGCCTTGAATAAAGAAACCATTACCTTTGGGGCTAAGGTACCGCAGTGTGGGTCTGTAAAATAATCTTAGCTAAATTAATCTGGATCCTGAGACTGAATAGCCTCTATTGTGTTATGCTTCGTTCTTCAAAGCCTCCCGACACGGGTAAATGAGGTGGCCGGGTATTCTGCAATTGCTCCGACTTTTTAACCAAACGATTTGAGAACAAGACCTCTTTGTTTCAATGAATGAGGAGACTGGTATATCAATACCGTCATTACCACCGCAGATGTTGGAGTTTCGTTAAATATTACAGGCAAGCGAGTCAGGGACAACTTAGACACGAGTGAAAGAACTTCGATCTTGTGTGGTGAATATTAAACCTATCATGGTTAAAACGACGTGACGCGCGATGAAATTGTAGACGGAAGTTGTATCAAACAACGCAGTGACCACGAAACAAAGTGCGTTGTACATACCCTTCCGATTGGTTGTCTACCGATGTCTCATTGTATGCTTATTGGTCAAAATCCTTGACTATAATGCCACCTGATTGGTTTTCTTACTTCTACCCAGGACTTCGGAGAGTGTATTTCCAAAATGGCGAACGACCGGGAGGGTCGACTTGCTTCCTTGTCAATTCACCGCAATGTATCGAAGGAATCGAAATGTTACATGCAGTACACTATTGACCCAGTGAATATCTAACCAATGTTTCAAACTTGAGTTAGGAATAATAACGTTAGTGGCTTTAGAAGCTTTTGGATATCATCTGCAAGATGAAATTGGCCAGACAAAGGATAGGGCGGGAAACTTGGCGAAGTAATTTTGAAGTTACCTCGTTAACCTATCGCAAATTGGAGGGGCTTTCCCTTGCGTCATTATGGAAGACTCAAGTGCATCACGGATAAATTTCTCAGTCAATGGGAACGTAAACATCGTTTTACTATGATCGATTCACGACGGAACAGATCCTCGTGCGCAGGAATATTATTATCGAGAATTACAAATTATCCATGCCTGTAGATCTTTCCTGACTAACAGCTGCTAAACGCTAAGATGCAAAGGCAAGAAAGTTTCAAAGGTACGTGAAAGATTTCGGAGTTCGATGAGATGATGTAGTTGTTTGCATGCAAATCTCGCGGAGAGTCGCCTGCAGTATTTATTTTTTTGCAATCGTGTAGAAAATATCGAGCTTTGTTTTAATTTCGCTTTCGTCTGTTTGAATTACGCAATTTTTTTGTGCTGAAAACATTTTGCAGTTATGAATATCAGATATTATTGCTGCATTAGGGCAGGTTTGGACGTCAAGATAATAATAATTATAATAACAAAATTTCAGCTGAAACGATTACGTTACATGTAAGACCACCTTCGTTTGAAATGCGAAGTCATAACCAGGTTGTCTGGAGAAGTGTAAGATCCGTTTGTTAAGGTTGAAGAAACAGGAAAGTATGAAGTAAATTACGCTCACTGAAAATCCATTGAACATGCTTAAAAATTATATATTTCAATTTTACGGAAGGCGACATGATTTGCAGGTAAAAAATTATTAGGTTAGTCACTGGAATATTCTGTTGTTAACCTTATCAGTTGTCACTTTAGAAAGCTGGTGCGCTTGCTTTAAAATGATTATTAAGTCAGTAATTGGCAATACTTCTGGTGACTTAACTTTTTTCAGTTTTGGCATCAGTGGAATAGATGTAATTTGTTTCATATTTTTCCAAAGTTTACCCAATGTATTGTCAACTGAAATCTGTTTAAGAGTAGTAAAGCAATCTGGTTTTAAATTTATTTTACATGTTCTTGTTGAATCAAGACTGACAAGACTGAAGCAGACAATTGCATTCTA